ACTGAACTATACCCCCAAGCTCTGGGAACACTTTATTCCACAGATTACAATCTTTATAGTTCTATTGGATTTTCTTTTAATTAGGTCATGCTCATTCTTGGTAATTTTTTATTAATTTCTGCAGCGTAGTATCCTGAGGTGTGGTGCTTTTTAACCTTAAGGAAGAATAACTTGCTAACATGCCTAAGGCTTTGTGTTCAATCCCCAGTACCAGAGGGGGAAAATAGAACCAATGTAGTAGTAAGTGTCAGACCAGCCATAAGAAACAGCTATACAGGGCTAGGGTGTAACTCAGTGGTAAGCACCTGCAAAGCGTGCTCAAGGCCCTCGATAGACTCTCCCACACTGCCAAAAGAAAAGAGTACCAGAAATACTAGGTGTACTTTAGTACTTAATTGGAGTTCAAACCACTTGATTGGAAAAATCTTGGCATTAAATTCTAGGAATTCAACACTTAAGTGAATTATATTTTATTTATTAAAATATTATGTTAGATTCTAACCATAAGGTCACTTTATGCTAGACATTTTAGGTACTAGAAATACAGCAGTAAGACAGTCTTTCCCTCTATGGAGCGAATGGGCCTTAAAAGTCAGTTCTTAGGTTATTACAGCCTTCTTTTTAATCCAACTAGGCCATCTATTTTTATCCTACACAATTGTCATAGTTTTACACAAACACCAACGTTCCCATTTTGTCACGATGTCTAAATCCTTGAAATTTCAGACCCTTCATGTAGTTCCCTGACATCTTTCCTCTTAGACCTTTTATTCCATTCCCAGTCTGACTGCAATTCTCCATAAGGCTTTTTTCTCTTAGTCTAGAAAGGTTATACTGATGTATTACCCATGCCCTTCCACCTTGCTTTAACTCATTCCTTCCTTGCAGTTTCTTTGGAGATGATTCCATTTTCCTAAAGCAGGGATTGGCATGGGATGTCATTGATGAAATAATAGGAATATATAGTTGAACCATCACAATTGAGATGTACAAAATGATTATCTAGGCTCCAATCAGTGGCCCTCTTCATGGAACATTTGGAATCAAGTGACATTTTTAACAACAAATTTGGATAGAACTTTGCTATCTTAATGTGGTAACAAAATCTGTAAGTAGAAGATGCAGAAGAGTCAGCATTAGTCATATGAGAGTTTAAAGCTAAAACTAGTGACTCCAAAGGAAATTTAAGAAAATTTCCCTTCAAAAGTTGTCTCACTTCATAGAACACAGACCAAATAGGAGGAAAACAGCCTAGTTGACCAGTCTTAATTATTTCTAAAAATTATCTAGGCTAGTGCATGTATATTGTGGGTTTTCTAAAAGCAGAAGCACTGTAAAATTATTGTCTCTGTCCATATTGCTGTAGTCACCTTCAAGGAAAGTGAAAGTGTTTAGAATTGATTTCTTGATGGGCGTGGTGTTGTACGCCTATAATCCCAGCACTCAAGAGGCTGAGGCAAGCATTGCTGTGAGTTTGAGGCCATCCTGGACTACAAAGCAAGACCCTGTCTCAGAAAAACTAAACAAAAGAATTTATTTCTTTCCTTTAGTCATTGTGATAAACTCCTTTAGGTGAAGTCTGTTAGTTATAACTTGTAACTTGTATGTTCTAGCTATCTTTTCCTGGGAAGATTAAATTACATTTTAAAAGCTGCTTGATATTTGGAGCTTATTCGTAAAAATAGCTCTCATTCATGGAATCCTAGACATGTGAAACTTGGTGCCTGATAACTGTCTTTCATACAACATCCCTGAGTTAGGTAGTGGTATCTCTCATTTACTGGCAGGAAAACAGGCACAGAAAGGTTAAATGGTAGTTGTACAATTGGTTTGTGACAAAGCAAGTGACAGCTAAGAAATTATCTTTATACTTTTTCAGTTTTTATATTTTTATGGAAGTATAGATTTAGCTTTTTAATGGTAGAGATAAAGCATTTTCTTAGATTAGACTTGGAGTTTTTAAAGATAAGCTAAAAGAACAAAAGTTATAATGCTTTAAAAATTTGCTATTTGTTTTTATTGACTTTACTGTTGTAAACTACTTTTTTTTTTTTTTTGGTACCAGGGATCAAACTCAGGACCTTGTGCTTGCAAGGCAGGCATCGGCACCACTGAGCTAAATCCCCAGACCTGTTGTAAACTACTTTTAACATTTTGTGATTGATGTATGTGATTCTTTAAATGTAGAAAAACATTAAGTTTTTAGAGGAAAGGAATAAAAGAAGTTTAAGTATATGTCCTGGTGGATTTTTTTGTCCTTGCAGCAAACTTGAACATTCAATTCCATAATCATGTAAGATGCAGATGCTATATAAATGCATACTTGGCCAGGAGTGTAGCTTAGCAGTAGAGGGCATAGATTTGATGTCCAGCACCACAAAAAATAAAGCAAAACAACCTTCTGTCTTTTAGAATATTAATAAAAATAACTAATGATGCCAAGCAAAGAGGAGGCGCACTACTTCTATGTAAAGTGTCTTAAGAATTCACTTGAAGCTCTGAAAGTTAAATATCATTAAATGTATTGTCAAAACCTAAATTTGAAAATTCTGATCATTCAGGACCTTCTCAGGAAGCCCTTGGCCTTGCAAAAATAAAAATACCTCATAAGTAATACTGTATTTCAATAGATAGGTAATCTGTTTCATTTGTTAAGTGCTTATTAAGTGCCTAGTACTGGTCAATGTGCTTTTCAAGTGTTCTTTTTAGTTTTCACAACTTAACTTTACATATGAAGACACTGAGGTATAGGGAGGTTTAATGACGGTTTTCCCCCTCCAAGTTTACACATGTAGCTAGTGGTTGAGTCATAATTGAATTACTAAATAACAGATTTTTTTTTTTAACCCAGAGTATTGTACATAAAGGGTTTTTATTTTGCTTTGTTTTTTAATTTTGGCATTTTCTCTTTCTCTTCCCCTCAACTCCCTTCATGGTCCATTTTGTAATTTTCCCCCTAGATTTAAGCTTTAACTTTTACCATTCATTCTTTTTTTTCCTCTTTCATTCCTTTTCATATGGTTCACATCCTGGGGAGCAGAAAACTCTAAAAACTTATTCCTAACTTTAAGAAAAATTACTATATATTTAGAAATCATTATACTTCATTGACAAGTTTAGTTTTTGAAAGTTTCATTTTGCATTATAGTATTTAAGGAGATGGCTATTGAAATGTTTCCTCTGCCCATTTAGAGTTTTAGATTTCCTACATTTTTCCTACATGTTAGGAGGTGTAAAGTTTTGCTAAGTAATACAGTTTGATTCTGTATGTCTCAAAAGTTTCTCATTCAGCCACATATTTGAATTTATTTTATTCTGGTTTGTTTTTATACCTTAGTGAGTGAAGTCTATTTGCATTATTAACTGAAAATCCTGTGCTGATGCTAATTTTGATCTTTTATTCCACTAGCTTGTATTGGAGCACTCAGACTTGAAGAAGAATATAGGTAAAAAGTATAATATGCAACATTTTCTAGCATTAGGATTATGAAATTTTGCAAAGTTGTATTATTTGCTATATTCAATTTAAAAATTATTAATACAACAATTTAAGGTAGTACAGTTTGTCAAAACAGTTACAGATTTTTCAGTTCTCATCAATGTATTATAAATATGACATCAATTCTCTTAATCCTTAAAGACAAAACAATTATCTCATGTTACCTTAGGGCCCCCCTATGAAATTTTATGCAGAAAATCTGAATTAATTACAAATTAAATAGCAAATATCATTGTGAAACACATTTTAGATTGATCAGAATCAAACCTGTTTCATTCAGGAATGCTTATTTCTCCAGCACCCCCATTATATTTAAACTCTTACCATATCTCTTACCTGCCTGAAACAGATGTGCCACTTTGAACCCTGCATATCCTTGTAAATCCTTTTCAGTAATTAGAAGTTATAGAAGACCAAGAAATCTTGGGAATGATATTCCTTTATCTTGTCATAAAGTTGTTTTAAAAATAGCCTTAAAATTATGGGCCAGGGATTTAGCTCAGTGATGCTACTGTTTGCCTTGCAAGCACAAGGTCCTGAGTTTGATCCCTGGTACCCCCCCAATAAATAAAACAGCCTTAAAATTAAAGCTGGGCATAGTGGGGCATTCCTGTAATCCCAGCTACTCAGGGGGCTGAGGTAGGAAGATTGCATGTTTGAGTCCAGCCTGGGCAACTTAATGAGACCCTGCCTCAAAATAAAAAATAGAAAGGGCTGCGGATGTAGCCCAGTGCACCCTGGGCTCAACTCTCAGTATGGGGGAGGCGAGGTAATGCCACCAAGTTTTTATATGTATGCTAAATATATATTCTGTCTTTTCCTGCTTTGTCTTGATAATCCCATTTTTAGGAACAAGGATCTAATCTGGGCATAGTGAGTTCAAGGACAGCCTGAACTGCATAGTAAGACTCCATCTCAAAAAAAATAAAATTAAAAGATCTGATGGCAATCTAGGAAAGGTTGAAGATAAGAATATATCAAAAATATTCCATTTTGTTTGTATATCCTGTTTATAGTAACCTAAGTTAACAAAATAAAATTGGGGGGCCGGGGATTTAGCTCAGTGGTTTCGCCACCTGCTGTGCAAACGCAAGGACCCGAGTTTGATCCCTGGTACCAAAAAAACCACAAACAAACAAACAAAAAGATAAAATTGGGAACTTCACTCAGGTATCAGGTAGAACCGTTAGTCCATTTAGTTTTTTTTTTTTTTTTTGGTACCGGGGATCGAACTCTGGATCTTGGCGCTTGTGAGGCAGGCCGCGGCACCACTGAGCTAAATCCCCAGCCTCATTAGTCCATTTAGTTTTGGGTTTTTTCTTTACGGGTTTTTTTTTTTTGTAGTAGTAGTAGTGGGGATAGAACTCAGGACCTTGCACTTGTGAGGCAGGCGTGGCGCCACTGAGCTAAATCCCCAGCCAGTGTATTTAGTTTTTTAAAAAGTTACTGGAGAGGGCCGGGGATTTAGCTCAGTGGTTTCGCTGCCTGCTGCGCAAGCGCAAGGACCTGAGTTTGATTCGTGATACCAAAAAAACCCAAACCAAACAAAAAAAGTTATTGGAGGAAAGAAGGTGCTGATTCAGACCAATCAGAAGATGGTAAGCAGCATTTTAATGCAGTTTTAAATTTTTTAGCCTAAAAAATAACTAATGGTGACGAGTATGTAGCTCAGTGGTAAAGTGCTTACCTAGTGTTCATGAAGCCCTGGGTTTCTTTTGCATTCCCATCCCTAAAAATTTAATATTGAAAACTAAAGATACAAAAGGCATCTTTTAGTCTGTCAGATATTTGTTCGGTAGATTTTCAGAAATTGACCAGTTTCGTAAACCAAAGAGAAATAGTGTAAATAATACAAGAGCAAGTATGGGGATTTGAAAATGCTATGTCCACTTTTAAAGTACAGCCCAGATTATTTAGTAGTAACTAGTAAAAGTTCACTCAAATTCAGATTTTCAAACTTATTTAGCACTTTTTTAAAAAAGTTACTTGAATGTTCAGTTTAGATTTAAAAATAAGGGCTCAGTTCATGGAGCTATATATGAGCTATATATGATATTAGAATGCTTTTATCATTGTTATTTATTTATTTTTATTTTGGTACTGGGGTTCAAACTCAGGACCTTGTGCTTGTGAGGCAGGCGTGGCGCCACTGAGCTATATCTCCGGCCCTTTTATTAGTATTTTTTTTCTTTTATTAGTATTTTTGAATAGGGAAGAGAACAGTAATTGTTATAAAACCATAACAGTGATCTGGGTTGCAGCTTAGTGTTAGAGCACAAACTTAGCATGCACAAAGCCTTGGGCCTAATCCCCTCCCCACTGAAAGAAAAGATTCTGTTGACATTTTCCTTTGAAATTTTGTTAGCCTTTGATCCAGGCAACTTCTGCAGCTCCAGTCACTGTTCTGCATCGCTACACAAAGGGAAGGTGGAATAAATACCCTTCTTTAGAATAACTTCCAATCACTTTATGTCTTACACTCAGCTGGTGACCATATTTCTAAAGTTCACTCATGGGACCAAAAAATAGGAAGAAAGAGAGTGGTGACCAGATAATCATTGGCTTTTTGTTTTTTTTTATTTTTTGGTACTGGGGATCGAACTTGGGTCCTTGCTTTTGCACAGCAGGAAGTGAAACTACTGAGCTAAATCCCCGTTCTGATAATTTATTTTTAAAGTAATAATTCCTTGTACTATGGATCTGTCTAGATTCAACACAGATTTTTTTTTTCCCCCCTTAAGTTCCAGGAGCTTGTTGCAGCATTTTTTTTTTTGGTACCAGGGATTGAATTTGGGTCCTTGCGCTTGCGCAGCAGGTGGTGAAACCACTGAGCTAAATCCCCGGTCCTTTGCAGTGTCTTTTTAAAGAAAATGAGAAGAATGCCCACAAATGTTAGGACAGAATTATGGAGGGAAAATACTTTCTCAAATTAAAAATGGACTGGAGGATACAGCTCAGCAGTAAATCACTTGCTTAACATGCATAAGGCCCTCAGTTTGATCCCCAGCACTATGGCAGAAAAAATGAAAACTGAAAGGTTGCGGGGAATGGAGTAAAGATCAGCGCTGGGAGGCAGAGGATGTGGTATAAATAAGCATTGATTTGTAGTTTTGTTTCTATGTAGATTACTTACAACTAACGTAAAATGAATGTTTGATTTCTTGAGCATGCAGATGGTGAAGGATGGAAAGCCAACCTGGAGGCACAAATTTCAGCAGATGCTCTGCTTCCAGGTAGTGGAAGTGACTTATTTTCTTTTTGTGGTTCTGGGTATTGAAGCCAGGACCTCACCCATGCTAGGCAAATGCTCTAACACTGAGCTACATCCCAGACCTAGTATAAATGATTTTTTTCTTTTCAGTACTAGGGAAGGGGAGAGAGCCAAGGTCCTCTACCACTGAGCTATGTCCCCAGCCCTTTTTAGTTTTATTTATTTTTTCTATTTTGAGACAGGGTCCTGCTAAATTGCAGGCTGGACTCAAACTTGTGATTCTCCTGCTTGGCCTCTCAACTAGCTGGGATTACAGGCATGCATCACTATACCCAGCCTTCAAAAATGACTTTTTAACAGTGCTAATATCTTCAATCCAAAAGCAACACCATCTCCATCCAAAGGGAATCTTTAAATCTCAAGATGGATCACCTTCACCATGATTAGACTGCAGATAGAATAAGGCCTCATGAAGATATTTTTGGTGGCTTTAAATTGTTGGGAACAGATACATAGAGAAGAAACTGCAACTATGCTCTTTTTTTTTCCTGGTTCCTCAGTCTCCTGATATAGTTAACATTTCACAACTAAAATAACCTTAATGAACACTTGATTATACTTTTTTTGAAGATACATTTCATGACCTCAGACTGCAGAAACTGCCATCTCCTAGGCACAGTTTACATTTGATCCTTTGCTTATGTCCCGAGAGCATCGCATATTGGGAGACATTGCTTTTATAAAGGCAGTGGCTGCTGGGCCTGGTGATGCACACCTATAATCCCAGCACATAACATCAGTGGCCAGCTTGCCTCAGTGTTAATAAGGACCAGCATGCAGGTTCAGTTTTGCTCTTCACTTTGGTCCTGAATTGAGAGCTGAGTCAAGAGAAGTCAGCAGGTCTGCTCAAAAATGTACGGGTCTTGGGGCCAGAGATGTAGCTCAGTAGTTCCACTACCTGCCTCACAAGCACAAGGTCCTGAGTTCGATCCCTGGTACAAAAAAAAAAATGTATGAGTCTTTTTTTTTCCCCAAAAGACAGATTATTATTGAGCCCACTTCGGTCAAGGAGCACTGAATATTGTGTTAAAATAGTACTTTACTTCATGCTTGAAATTAACATTTTAAAGAATCATGTAAATAGTTTAAAGGTAGCTGGATTTATTGTAGCCAAATGAGAAATACAGCTGTTAATGAGAGGGCATAACTTGTGTAGTTCTTAATTATTTACATCATTAGAGAAACACAAATATGACTAGTTCAGAGCAATTTAACTTTGCAGTGAGAGTTTCTGCGTACCTTTATATGTGGGGATAGCTGAGATCCTTGGAATTTACTTTGAGTGAATGATGGAAATACCCGAGAAAACGTAGTGCTAGGACCTCTACTTTTTCTCAGGTCCAGTCACCAACTTCCTACAAACCAGGCATGAAGAAAAACAAAAAATAAATTCTCCAGAAAATAGGATGCTTCTCTTCACCCAGGCACAGGTATAAAGGGTACATTTCTCAGGGCTCCCTTCTTTACTTTGAGTCTCTTAAGAGGTATTTGAGATGTCAGTAAGCTAAAATTAAATGTATTAATATGGGAAGATTGAAATATCAACAGAAATGTTTGATAGTATAGGTGTTATCATTTACCTTGAAGGTAAAATTTATGCTGGAAAACAAGTCTGAAGGATGATCACTTTCAAAATACAAACCTGGAAACTTCACCATCATTGGCTACTGTAACAACAAAATTGCACAAACTAGGATATGTTAGAGCAAAAGTCTACCCAAGTCTGGTTTTTAACAGCTCTAATCCAGGGTGCTTCTCAACTCTGTAACAAACAGTATTTTATTTTTGCCTTATTTCCAGATGCCAGCTTTAACACATATGCTCTACCCTATTTTGAGCAGTGTATTTTTGCTTTGAAAGGAAACTTGAATGTGCATTTTGTCTTCCTTTGAATTACTTTTTGGGGCGGTCGTACTGGGGATCTAACTCAGGACCTTGGCAGGTGGCGGAAGCACTGAGCTAAATCCCCAGCCCTTGAATGTTACTTTTAATTGAACAGTAAGAAACTGAGCTCAGCATTGACAGTCAGACTCTTAACTAAATTTTCAACTTTTTCTGAGGTCATCCTAAATGATTCCTTTTGTTTTTTTGTACCTGAGATCGAACTCAGGACCTGTGCTTGCAAGGCAGGCAACGGCACCACTGAGCTAAATCCTCAACTCCTTTCTTTTCTTTTTTAAATTTAATTTTGCTTTGTTTTTCTTTATAAAGTGAAGAGTATATAACACGAGTCCCTTTTGCCCTGTACTAGTACAGTCTGGCATCAGGAGCAGTAGTTGTTGCTCTTCTGATTTTCATTAATGAAGTTTTATGGGTTGGAAGATCTATTTTATCCAGTGTTGATTCTTTAATTGGGCACTATAAGTAAATTCACTTGCTATCCTGCTTAGTATTTTATATTGATATTTTATATTTTATATTCCTTCTACTTCAGGAATGGTAACCTAGGAATAGCAACTGTGGAGTTGAAGGATACTTTGATCATACTTTAAATAACAGACATTTTGAGGGTTTTTGGCTTTTATAAAAACAAAACTCAGGATCATGTTCATAGTTTTTTCATTGCTTGTTGTTAGTGTTTATTTATTTATTTATTTTTGGTACTGGGGATTGAACTCCGGTCCTTGTGCTTTTGAGGGAGGCGGTGGAACCACTGAGCTAAATCTCCGGCCCTACTGTGTTTATTATTAATGGATTAATATCCTGCCCTTGTTCTTAAAGTAATTTTATATGCTAAACTTTTGTTTTGTTTTCTAGCTTCTAAGATAGATAACAGTTATTGCAAAGTACATGTTTTTAAATGATCTCCAGTGTGGATTGCTTCTGAGCCACTGATGGAATGAGTACTCCCGGAAGGAATGTATCATTTGGAATCCAGAATCATTCATCAAGGATAACTGCCTGATCCTATGGTCAGAATGCTCAAACTCTTATGGCATACTGATGGCTTTCTCTTTCATTCCCCTAAAAGCAAGTGTTGTCAGTCTCAGAGTTCCTCCCACGTAGCTGTTCTCTCATTCCTGTTCCCAAATTAGTGATCTAGTTCTATCATTGTTGAGTGTCAGAGTTGAAGTGTTTAGTATAGCCAACTTTATGATTATAGGAAATAATAAAAAGTGTTAGTATAATCAACTTTATGATTTATAGGAAGAAATTAAAATGATATTGTTTGCTAACTACCTGAAGTATAAAAACTTCTGTTTTCTTTTTCCAGTCAGGATGAATAACTTTTTGATTTTAGTTTTTGTTTTCAACTTAGAATTTTGCAAAAATATAAAGACATTTCCTGGTTAATTTTGGATTCTCTTTTACTCTTAAATATTTTGTCTTCTCTTTTACATTGTTCTTCTTAATGCTTATTTCCTGTAACTAAGAAAGCAGTTGACATAATAAGCTTTACCTTTTAAATTTAAAGGTTGTACTTATGAAATTAGATGAAGTTCACTTTGCTAGTTTAAGTAGTACGTAGATACTGATTTTAAATTTGATCAGCCAATTCGAAAGTCATTTAGAAAAATTTGCTAATATTTTTGGTTTTCTTTGTTAGAATTGTTTTTTCTTTGCACATTTGTGCTGTAAAATCAGGAACAGATTTGTATCAGATAGATGAACTTATGTTTGGTCTTCATGATAATTACATCTTTGTTTTACTCAACATTTATTATTAAGAGAACACAAAAGCCTGGAGTGGTGGTATGTACTTGTAGTCCCAGCACTTGGAAGGCTGAGGCAGGAAGATGTCTTGTGCCAAGGGCTTTGAGACCACCCCGGGCAGCATAGCAAGGCTCCATCTGAAAAACAAAAAGGAAAATAAGAAACTTCATCCTGTATCAAACTAGCATCTTTAGCTTGACTAAGAGCTGATTTTCATTAAGGAATAGAACTTGTAATTCATTTCCACATTCTTTAAGATATGACTCACTCACTTTAAAGTTGTGAGACCTAAACCTATACCCTGGTCACTTAATTTTATGTCCTTCCCTGTTTACTGTGTCTGATCTTCAAGATTTCGTGACTGACGCTGAAATGGAAGCCAACTGATGCTGAAATTTGGGGGAAAATTACATCTGAAGAATGCAAGAGAAAGTAGGAATTCATTTCTAGCATTCCCAAACCTGCCTTGTATTGTCTACTGTACTATAGTCAGAGGACAACAACTGAGTTCATGGAATTTGCCAGCTAAGCCTTACAACTGTCTTAAATGTTCTTAGGAAATACACTGAAAAGGTAAGTGAATTGTCCATTTAGAAGAAAGACTAATAGGTATTTTTAAGTCAGTTGTTATATTTTAATAAAGACAGGGAGCTCCTTTATTCCAAACTTCAAAGTCGTGCCCCTACTGGGTGACTTCAGTACTGTGGCAAACGTGGAGTTGTTCAACCAGCCTGGAGCTTTTCCTCTACTCAGCTACTAAGCCAGAACATGCGTTGAAGTGCATAGCATGCTAATTTCTGTTGTCTTGTTGTGCTCAAATCCTTTTTTTTAAAAAATTACTTTGTTTCAGATGAGATTTAGTTTTATCACTCAGTATATAGAAAAGAGTGTTTAATGTTTCAAAGATTCAGCATTACATTTGCATTAGATAGAATCAAGAATAAATTAAGGGTTTTAAATGATTTCTGTTAATACCTACTTATATTAGTTTTGTGGATTATTAAAAAATATTATTACATTTATTATGTTCCTGTGTGATAGGTATTGTGCCAGGCCCTGGAATACAGAGGGACTAGCATGCACAGTTTATGTCCTTTGTTCATACAATACAGATAGCATTCTGGTTTAGAGAATCAAGATATGATATAAAAAGGCTAATTCCATTTTCTCATCAATAATTTACTCTGATAACTACTATGTTAACTTAGCATAATAAATTCTTTATGAAAGTGTCTTCGTTTGTGTGTTTAACATTTATTAAATACTTTGTGCCAGGTATTGTGTTAAACTCTTTACATATATTTCTTTACTCATATCTCTTCTTTGAGGTAGGTACTATTACTAAAACTCATTTTCTAAGAAAAGTAGAGAAGCTAACTAACTTAACTTGTGCTGAGTTTGCCTACCTATGATCTGGGACCAATATTTGGACCCAGGTAAGCTAATTCCAGAATCTACACTCTTTCTTTGGGTATGATGTTGATATGCAGTACCTGGCTATGAGTATCCATAAACCATTCCAAACTCTTAATAGAAATTTTCCCTAAATTCTTCTCTAGCTCCAAGACAGTTTGCATGCTGACCTTTCCTCTTACCCCAGGCCCCAAGTGTAAAGGACTGGAACAGAAGAGCAGAGCTTGGCAGTTACATTTTATATTTAGGATCTTGTCTCTCAGATCCACCCCTTTTATTTTTGGAATGTGAGCATTTTCTTTAGCTGCTAAATCATGAGAAAATACAGCTGCTGAGATTTTTCCTAGGATTAAAAAAAAGATTAGGCATTGTTGAAGTGAAGAAAAATTGCTCTGAGAACCACAGGTAGGTAATTTGCCCCCTGTTGTATGGAAAGCCCCTGCACCTCTGTCCATTGTTTTATACTTCTGTAAATCTGATTTTAACTTTAATAAAGTGGTTTCTGAAGTGAGTGGGTTTTATTTTGTCTCATTTCCCATTAGATTCTGTATCTCTTTTCACCTTATGTATATTATTGCTGTCCCCTTCAAAACTAATGGTATGATTAAAATGAAAGTACCTCCCATATACCTAGTACTGATTAGCTTTAAAAATACATATACAAAAATACATATACAAGACTTTGTCTTAGCTCAGTGTGGGTTCTATCCAATAATAAAACTCTAGATTTTTGAACAAAAAGTCAGAAGTTGTAAAATTACTGTGAACAGTGTTTCATTGTGTATCTCAAGCAATTGTGACAAAAAGAAATCTGCCCAAGTGAAATCAAGTTAACTTTCTGTGAGTAATGAAGTTAACTGCAGGAACAGTATTGACCATCTCTCTCTCAGATTACTGATTTTCAAACTTCAATGTTATGTGAATAACCTGAGGTTTTGTTAAAATGAAGATTTTTAAATCAGGGAAGTAGGTCTGGGGTAAAAAAAAGTTTTGTTGAAATATAATTAAAATAACAAAATTCACTCTTTAAAAGTGTACAGTGGTTTTCAACATGGAGAGTTTTACAACTATTGCTACTTTTTAATTTCTTCACATCAAAATAAAACCCTATAATTATCTATTCTCTCTCTCTTTTTTTTTTTTTTTTTTCAGGGATCGAACTCAGGACCTTGCACTTGTGAGGCAGGCTGCTGCCACTGAGCTAAATCCCCAGCCCTTTATCTCTCTATTCTCTTGCCCACCCTCTTCTTCCCACAGCCTCAGGCAACCATTAATCTATTTTCATTCTTTTCAGTTTACCTATTCTGGACATTTCATATACATGCATTCACACATTATGTGAACTTCTAGAACTGGCTTCTTATTTAATATATTTTTAGAGTTTATGTTGTAGCTTTTATCAGTACTTCATTATTTTTCATGGCCAAATAATACTCCTTTGTATGAATGTATACTACATAGATGTAGTATGCATTCATGGTAGATGGATATTTGGGCTGTGTGCACTTCTTGGGTATTAGGATTAATGCAGCTATGAATATTTGTGCACAAGATTTTGTGTGAATATAAGCTTTCATTTCTGTTGAGAATCTACCTGGGAGTGGAATGCATGGGTCATATGATAACTACAGTTTGAGAAATTTCAAAATGATTTTCTAAAGTGGCTGTACCATTTGAGAGTTTGTATTTTTGACAAGCACCTTGTGATGCTAAATATACTGTAGATAATATCTTGGCACCCATGAAGAAAATAGGAACATGACATTTTATTCATTCATTTATTTATTTGCTTGCTTGCTTGCTTGCAGTACTGGGAAATGAACACAGGGCCTTCACACTGATCTATATTCCCAGCCCTTCTTTTATTTTTTGTTTTGAGACAGGGTCTCTTTTTTTTAATTTTAATTTTTTGGTACCAGGAATTGAACTCAGGGCCTCATACTTGCCAGGCCAAGCTACATTCCTAGCCTGACAGGGTCTCTTAAGTGACCAGGTTTCCCAGTCTGGGCTTGAACTTGGAATCCTCCTACCTCATCCTTCCAGAATGCTGGGATGATATGCTTGAGCCACTATTCCTGGCATCTGGAATATGACCTTTAACTGAGTTCAGCTGGCAAAGTCTAGCCAGCAACCAGCAGCCAAAAAGGTGAATTGATTGCTTTCTTAGGACCCACAGGTGCCTCAAATCTTACATTAGTCTCTATTTAGGCTTCTTATTCTAGCCTCTAAACTCATCGTCTGATATCCAAAGAGAAGGAGAATATTCACTTTTAGTTGCAAGAGGAGCTCTAAGTTGAGATCTTTTTTTTTTCCTCTCATCCCCTCTGATACCAGAGATCAAACTTGGGACCTTGCACTTGTCAGGCATGCACGGTGCCACTGAGCCGCATCCCCACCCCTAAGTTAAGATCTTTAGGGTGCAGGGTTGTAGCTCAGTGGTAGGGTCTTGGGTTCAATCAGCAGCAGGAAAATATAAAAAATTTTGGTAGTGTTCTACAGACATTTTGGTCTTTTGTAGAATGAAAGGTAACAAGTGAAAATATACACATAAATGATATATTATAGTGCATTTGGGGAACAGCCAAGAGGCAGGCCAACTCCAGGGAGACTTCTGAAGCCTGGGACTCCCTGCCCCAATCCCTTTTTCATTCACCACAGATTTGACTGCAGGGGATCCAGATTTTCTACTTTGATTCACAGTTTGATGGGAACATTAGATGGACAAAAGTATAATTCAAAAAAGTGAGAAAAGTATAAAGATCTGTGGGGTTCAGATGATGAAGAGATTACTTCCATTTTGTATGAAGTGGTGATAGTGGTAGGCGGTGGTAGAAATTAGAAAAAATTGAGAGAAGCTCAGCCAGTCCCAGCACCCAGAAGGAAGCTCCCCGCCTCCATCCCAGGATCCTAGAGCAGAGAAGGTGAGCTGGTCCCAGCACCTGGAAGGAAGAAAAGATCGCTTGGCAGTGACATCTGAAATGGATTTTCCAAAGAAGTAAATGAGGTGTATTCTAAGATGATGGAGCAGAAGTAAAGATATCGATGTCATAAGTGGCAGGATATAAACCAGCTATCTTTACCATATGCCCAGTTGGTGCGCTGAGCCTCGGCAGTATAAAAGGAAAAAAGTCACTTCCACTTCTAATAAGCAATTAAGTGAGATATCAACTAATGCAGTGTGATCTGCAGAAAAAATTAGTATGCTAAGAGGTATAAAAGGATTTGTTCTTTGGTTTCTTTTTGTTGTTGCTTTTTGGTGCTGAGGATTGACCCTCAGGCCTCATACATGCTGAGCACTTGCTTTACCACTGAGCTACACCCCAATTCCTCCAGAGTTAGGAGTCTTGTGCCTGGCTGTTGTTCTGGTTCACTTGGCATGATGCCTGAAATAAAAGGAGCAGGAAACATGGACAAAAAGATAAATTGAAGTATTACTGCCATCTGCTTAGGCAGACACGACTAAAAATCTAAGCATGTGGCTAGTAATAAAGCAGAAGGAGAAAGCAGGGGTTTAAGTTTGGGAGTTACCTTCCCTTAAGGCCTGTGATTTTCACTTGTGACCCATAAGTTGAAGTCTTCAGTGCCATTGTAGGATACTTTGTTCCTCAGGTGTTTTGTTTTGTTTTGGTACTGGGGATGGAACTTGGGACCTTGCCCTTGCAAGGCTGGTCCTCAGGTTTTTAAAAGTGAACTACCTGGGGCTGGCGATTTAGCTCAGTGGTTTCGCTGCCTGCTGCACAAGCACAAGGACCCAAGTTCGATCCCCGGTACCAGAAAAAGAAAGAAAAAAATGAACTACCTAATATACTCTAGAGCCCAACTGTAACCCATGGTTGGAAATTGTCACCTATCCTACAAAGATTGATCTATGAAATACCAGTCTAACACACACTTTCATCATATTCTTAACTGTTCACAACCATAAGTCCTTGATTAGTCTTCTCGTGTCAGTAGATAAAATTACAGGATAAAATTCCCATGATTTATATTGAACGGGTTTTTACATGTCTCAGGAGTTCTGTATGCATTATTTATTGCTACATAACAAATTACTCAGCAAACAGCAGCTTAACATGAATATGTATCATCCCATACAGTTACTCTAGGCTCAAGATCCAGGAATGGCTTAGCTAAGTGATTCTGGCTCAGATTCTTAGGAGGTTGGAGTCATCAGGGAGCTTGGCTGGGGCTGGAGGTTTTGCTTCCAAAATGGCACACTCATGCTTAGGTCATGTGTGTTGTTGGCAGGACCTTTGTTCCTAACCAGGTGGACCTCTTTGTAGACTGATTGGATGTTCTCATGACATGCAGCCAGCTTTCCCCTAATGTGAGTAATTTACCAGGCCCCCACCATCTCCATACTACCCCACTGTGCACACTGCTCAACCCTATGCCATGTGGGAAGGGCCTACAGTGGCTGGAGTACCAGGAGGTTAGAATTATGTGGGGCATCTTGGAGGCTTGCTGCCAAAACTTTGGATGAATTTGAGGCTGTTTAACACCCTATTAATCCAAGTTTTTTAAAGCTGGCCTTTGACATGCACTTAGTAATGCCCATTTTTGGTACTTTTAATTATCTTACAATGATTTCTTCAAAAGTGTTTTGACCTAAATGTGAGCAAATTGTTCAGTATACTTGTAGCACTTCAGGGAAAGGGATGCAGACATTTTTCTAAGAGCCATGTTAATACATATACCAAGGTGAATTCTAGTATTTTTCAAGTGTATGGAAAAGGAACTCCCAGTGCTCAACTGAACTAACCAGAAGAGAGAATTCTCTCCGTCTTCCTCTCCCAGGCTCATTGGATAAGGCCAAGGTAGTAGGGGTTGATTTGCAGATGGAGATAGTCTAGCATCACCACCAGAGTTCTAGTTGGATTTGCTGGTAAGTAGTAGCTACACCCTGAGATAAGGATTGCAGGATCAGGTCTGGGCTTATGAGGATGACTAACAGTTTTATGTGTCTATGGAGACACCGAAAACTTGGATTTGGAAATCTGTATGTAGTTTGAAGCTCAAGTGAGGTTAAGGCTGTACATAAAACTAAAGAGGATTGGGTAACAGGAGCAATACTAAACCTATGGGAGAAAAATTTCAAGGAAGGGAATAAAGAATAGCACAAAACAGCAGAGTAATTAGGATGTAGCCATAATAACTGGCAATACGTTGGACCTTTCCCAAGCAGTTTGAGAGGAATAGTCCAGGAGAAAAGCAGTTAGTTGTTAGTGCGTTGAGGAAGAAGTAGAAGGCGAGAAGATGGAGTAGTGAAGACTACTCTTACGAAGCTTTCAAGGAAAAGGAGAGAGGAAATGGATACTATAAAGAAATACGGGGGGCAAGGGGTGGGGGCCCCTAAAGTTTGGGAGAGTTGGTTGAAAATGAGTGAAGACTTAAGAGGGGGGATGATAACTGCTGAACCATCCAGAGAAGATGGAAGGCTGGAGTAGTCGGCTTTGGACAAGAAAACACCAACTGCTGAGACTTGAAGTAAATAGATAAATTTGCCAAGTG